AAACCTGGGAACATGTTCAGGCTTCTGAAGACGACGACTGAGTCGAAACGTTAGGCCAATTAATAAATGTTCCACCTATCAACCTCGTAAGGCAACAACTGAAAGACTTACAACTAAGATGCCGAGGTTGCAAGAAGAGAGAAGCTGGAGAATACTTCAAACCACAATGATCATCGCTGAGAAACCCTGACACGTCCTGCCGCTACAGGCAAATCGTACAAGATCGCTCTGCTCGAAACTCCCTCCTTTGTTACAACCCCTTCCCATCCTTTTCCTTCTCAACACCTTTCCGGGGTTTTTCCAATAACCATTCTTCCGACTTTCCCACCGAGCGAAAAGGAAAGGGAGGAGGTAGGGGTGGTGGGAAGAACCTAAAGTACCACGCCTTGTCGAAAAGGTCGTATTTTTAAAGTCAGCTTCGTTTCTAGCTCCAAACGCTCGATTAAAATGCAGGTTAGATGTGGCTTGGGTGGAATTCAGCCCCAACAAAACTAGCTGGTGATAGTGGAGTGAAGGGGGGAGGGGGTTGTAATGAAAATGTTCCTCATCGCAATGACGTGCCCTTCTTTGAGCAGCACAGCAGAGGGGCGAAAAGGTTACCCGTGTTCAATTGAGCAACTTAGAGAGTACAAATGAATACAAGTGAATATATCCCAAACATCCACTATTTCCATAAAGCATCAATGAAGACCGCTCACCTGATCTTATTCGCGCAATCCTCCAGGAACTGGTTGAGTGTTTTCTCCTGAGCACTTATAAAAACATCCAAAAACGAATCAAAAACACTCCAGATTGCCTGAACACGAAACTCTTTCTAGTGAAAAATTGCAAAGAACACAAACTAAACACCGTACCTTATCAAAATTGAAATCTGGTTTTGATGGGAATCTCTTTATGAGTAAAGCTTCAAACATTCGGGTGTGCTGAATAGCATGACCAAGCAAGCGGAAATCCAGATCAGGGCGCCTTCGGGTCATCATGCGATATAAAACATCCCTTAACAATATTTGCAGGTCTTTTTCAAGTAGAAATCGAAACAATCGAAACAAAAGAAGCAAAAGAGGGAGGAAGAAACGAGCATGTTCAGGTGCTTTACAGCAGCAGCGAATGCGGGAGAAAGTCAAGACAGACTGCAGAAGGGAAAACATGAAATGAGAGAAGCAAGGACTAGAAATTCAGGAAAGACAACAACGGAAATTCCGGGAAGAATAATACGATTTTCTCTGATAATATTTTACACTCTACTGGCCCATATTTCGAAAGTCACGTGCTGGCTGTTCAGCTTGCGAGGGGCATTTTCCACTTCCGCTGTTCCCTTTTTTGGTTCCTGCTAAAATTCACAGCTCATCTTGTTGAGACGTGAGGAATCTTGCCAGGTGTTAACGAAACTCGCTAATGCAGAGCTTTACAAGAGCCTACAGGTCCACAGAAGGCAGCAGGAGCGATTGACAGAAACCTAGAAAATGTCTCTCCAAACCGACCTGCGCCCTAATTCTGAGCGAAATTTTTGCAAGTGTGTAGTCTTTGCTGAAATTTAGTCTGGAGGACTAGTTTGACCAGCCCCACCCTGAGCATGAATATTGGCATGCGTGTTAGAACGCTTAGTGCCGGCGTCAGAACACCTCACACAACAACAATTCTGAGGAAAAGCTGCCCACAGAAGTAGCTCCCTCCCCTTTACGCAAATGTGAAACCCTCTCGGAGTCGGGCGTTGTCGCTCTAAAGAGTATGTTTGTGCTCGTTGCTGAAGTGGCTCAAACACTCGGGCGAAATACTTCTTGCGGTTAAACTACGCCTGCGATTTAACAAAAAAAAGGACAAAAAGGGGTAAAGAACGCCCCTTTTCTCTGAAGACAACAAAAAAAAACTAATGTTCAGACAATTTCCCTGAAGAACAACAGGATAAAAAGAAACTAACCTGGTCACGTTGCAAAACTCCTTCGTCATCAAACGTCCCATATCCCAGTCAGGAGGAAACACCTTGGCGAGACCAGTTCTTTCGAAATCCGTTAATTTACGAACATACCATTTATACCTGAATGGGTCCTAGTGAGCAATGAGGTTTTCCTGCAGGAGCATTTTCGGCCTTCAAATAAGCCTCGTAGGGCCACTGAAAGAAATTTTTGACGGTGCCCTGATTTTTCTTTTCGTCAATGTGTGTGTCTTCACTTGCAAGTCCTGTGAATCCCTTAAAGCGCCCTGTAGACTCCTTTCAAGCCGGCGAAATGGCGCCAGCGCCACTGGTACATAGTTGCCCCTTTTTTCTCATTTTGACAATTGTGCTAGGCGATTACAGGTTGTTTGACAAGTGATAACAAGGCTTACAGGGTGTTGACAAGTTCTCCTATATTCACAGGCATACTGTTTACAGGTTTCGGTATGCTGAGGAAGCGCTTACAAGTCTGCCCCCCCCCAACTATACAAGGTTATCGGCTCCTGTTTTTTCCTTCGGGTACAAAAACACTAAACTTGATGTAGAAGAATAAAAAACACGTGATTCCAACAGACCTTTCTTCGATTTTATCGAGCCAGGCTCCTTCTTCATTTTCTGCATACAATACCGTATACTCCGATAACTGCTGATCAATAAACCAGCGGCAGAAGTTTGACTTCACACTACCTTCTAAGGCTGCTGCCACTCGACACATGTCCGTTACTCGTTCACTCAACTGACCGGCCTTGAAAATAGTTAGTTTCCGAAGACTAATTAAAGCACTAACTTCAGGGGCCAGTGTCCAAAAAGGAACGAGTATACCTGGAAAACTGCCTTCATATCGCTGGCTAGTTGAACGGTGAGCGCCTGCTTCAACTTGTTCAGCCTGTTCGTTATTTTTGCCATTTGCTCGACTTCTTGAAAATCATCGAACAACTGTAAAACGTTGAGAATCGCTGGTAGTTGCCTGGCAATTGAAGCGTAGTCGCGATGGTCCACCCAGACGGCTGAAAGTGCTGTGAGTAGAAGAAAGAAGACGTATGCAAAAGCTTACACTGAGAAAGAAAATTCGAAGAAAATTGACGTAGAGGTGGCATGGCTAGGAGAGGCCTCTCCCAATTTCAATAGAAAATACGAGCGCAGTTTGGCTGAAGCGAGGGGGGGGGGGTGCGGTAGGGTATTTTGCACCTAATTCCCATCATCGTGTCGAGCATCATGCAGAGATTCATGAAATTTTGAGAAGACATGAAAAGATACCAGTGAAAGTTTATAGAGACAACTTCTCAACTGTTGAAAAGAATACCTTTCTACACTGGTAAAGAAATGAACTGGAAGACGGGAAGTAGCGGAAGTGCGAAATGTCCCCCGTCCCCACCCCCTCGAGTCGAACTGCGCCGAAAAATGTAAACACATACCTAATGAATCAACACCAGTGAGCAAAATATGCAAGTGATGTAATGTGGTGATTGAAGATGTGAGATTTCTTTTCGCAATGTCGAGTTGCTTGATATCTCTCGTCATTTCTCGCACAATCTAAAATCCTTGAAGTGCGTTCATACTTTTCATCAGCTTTTGCGCGACTAGGGAAGTATATGTATCGATCTAGCGTTTAGAGTGTACGGCAGCGTTTCCAGCGACTAGGAGTGGTGTTTAGAGAGAATCTGGAAGCAGGAAGCTAACAGACTATGCTAAATCGCTACGTGTACTTCCCAGTCGCTCAAAACGATGCTGTACGCTCACAACGCTGACAACTATAATATCCAAAGTTGGCAAGGTGGGTTTAGCAGAGCGAACATAATTGCGTGGCCGGTGCCCCCACTCATCCTCGGGCTAAGTCAGCGCTTCAAAAAGAGTGCTAAACAAGCGAAATCAAAAACTAATCGCGAGCAGGAGATCGCAGCTCTTCAAGGGAGTACGCTCGATTGAAGAATGGCTTCAGAAATTGAGTCGTTCGAGGAAGTGAACACTAAGCTAGCACGACAGATTCGGTCACACCCTTGCAAGAAAAAAGAAGGCGGGAAATCAGCTGAAGTGTTGGCACGGGAAAAGTAAGGCCGCGTTCATATTCAGCGACTGAGCAGATCCGGCGATTTGAGAGTGGGTGTCGAGCAAAGTATAGGTATTGATTTGCGACTGCTGAGACTGCGCGACCCGGAGACTCGGGAGACTCAGCGTTTTCGGCGACTGTACATCAAAGGAGTGAATGGGTATCTATCTCCGCTGGTCGCTCGCAATTGCAGAGATCCGGCGATTCGGGAGATTGAGCGAGCCGGCGATTCGAGAGACTCAGCGACCCGCACGCGCTAGATTTATACCTATATGTGCCCCCTCGCAAAATCTCTCAAATTCAGTCGCCGAGTATGAACGCAGCTTAATTTTGTATAGCGGTGATAGGGACAGACAAAAATCACGAATGCACTGCGACACCACGTGAAAAAATAAAGTCGCAACTGAAGAGAGGCAAGTCGGGTCTTGAAAAAAGTTATGAAAAACCATATTCAACAACATTACCTCATCCGATGACCTAGTTTTCCCTCGTATACTATCAATTCGACGCTCCAACTCTGACATTGCTTTTTGGGCCTGAACTTCAGAGATATAACAAGGGTCTTATGTAAAGAGCTAAAGCTATCACAACAGCTGTGAAACAAGCAGAATCTAAAGGAGACCAAATAGCAAAAGTTTACCTCCTGCAGAGCAGCTTCGCCTTGGGCCCCAACCTCGTCATGAGATTCCACCAATGCTGCCAGCTCCACGTCCAGATCGTGGATTTCAGATTCCACAGCAGCTGCTTCCCCTCCCTCGGCGTTGACATCGCCCTCGATGTCGTATATCTTGAGTCAGGTAGCGCAGGTATCATTGCTTCTACGGCCTTTTTTCCTTGCCGCTTCAAAATGCGCTCTTTGGTACGCCTGCGCCTACATGGTTACCAAAGAACTGTCCGCTGGCTTCAGGCGAACCTGCTTCAATATACAGTTTGCCTTCAATAATTTTAGAGCCAGCTGTGAATAAATATTTGACCTCCGTCGTCAATCTTGAGCAAAGCGTTTGTCCGAGAGCACTCCCAAGGAGCCCTTGGATTTCGCGCGCCATTTTGCAATATTTTTCTCGTTGACAGGAGGCCATGCTGTTATGATTTTTCCACCGCTGACTATTTGAGCTTTTACCTTTGTCAGCAACTTTCTCAGTTTTTGTTCATCCATTTTTGAATCAATTGGCCACGTGATTATCCAGCAACGATAAGTTGGCCATTCTTCGATAATTTCCAGTATCTGCGTCGAGATGCATGTGTGCCCTTTGGTCACTACATTTCAGACGCCTCTTTGCCCGTCTTTCTCCAGCGCTAAGGCTCCCTCGCCAGCAATGAATCCGACGAGACCGTCCTTTTGAGGTCTGGATTTTACCGCGTCTTCTTTCAGTTCTTGTCGCACTGCCTTTAGTGCGTCGTTGTATGATTTGTCAAAATAGTGGCCTGCTATAGCACTGTGTTGCTTGATTTCTTCCGTGTTCATGATGAAATCTGTCCAGTCAATACATCTGTCGTATGCCATTTTTAATACGTCCTTGAGCGACTCAGGTTCGTAGCATACGATACCTTCTCGATGTAGCTTGATTTTTTCCCCGACGTGTATGTCTGTCCTTCTAAAAATGCTAGTTGCTAGCCAAGCTTCCCACAAATTTGTGATGGGCTCTTTAGCAACCGCCCCGGGGAAATTCGTATTCCCGATATCTTTCAGAGTGGCTCCTTTGAAACACTCGTTCCCACATAAGAACTGTAGATGCCCTTTTTCTAGTGGGCTTAGCAGCGTCGCACCGCTGAAATACGAAACATTAGTATAACACACTTTTACTCTTGTTGGTTTTCTACCCCGTTTCCCTCTCTCTGTTCTTGTGTCGATGGGGTCGTCGGGTATATAGCTCGGTACTACTCCCGCCGCCCCTCCTCCCTTTACCCAGAGGTGGCCACAGGGACCTCCCTCCCGCGCGCCTCAGCATGTCGAACTGTACTCTTAGAGGCTCGTCGTTTCCACCTATTCGGTTTATGAGTGCCGAATTTTGACTAGCCTGTATTACTCTGTAGGGCCCTGTCCATTCAGATATCAGTTTCGGGTGGTGCTGAGCTCGTAGCTTCTGCATTGGGCGCTAGGCCAAATTATTACACGCGGTTCCTCCTTACTTTAGCGGTGTTGTCTTGTTAGACGTCTTTGCTCGTATCAGTTTAACTCGAGTTTCCATCTGATCTCTCCTCTTTTATTGTTACTCTCGAAATTTCGTTCATGGATTCAGCTATTGCCTGCAGCAGTTGCGCCTTATAGTCATCGATATTTTTATCAACTGCGTACAAACTTATGCCACCATTCGGTATGATTTCTGATGGGAAGTGCGGGTCCATACCGTGCAACACGAAATAGGGGCTCTCTCCTGTTGACCGATGTGGTGTCATGTTATATGCCATGAGGCAAAATGGTAGCCTCACATCCCATTCTGCTTGGTGTTATGGTACTGCGACGAAGCATGGCTACTATGGTACCATTCATCTCTCCTGTGAGTCGTTCCTCACCCTCGGGGTTGCTAACCTTTTGGTAAACAGGGTTGGCTAATTTTTGTGCTCTTGGTTAGTTCTGCCATTACTTTATTTTCGAATTCCCCTCCTCTATCAGAGAGGATTTTCTTCGGCCATCGGCAGCCTTCTGCTATCCATCGTGTGAATAGCATCTTTGCCACAGTTTCAGCTGATTTGTCAGCCACCGGATATGCTGCCGCGAATTTTGAAAAGTGGTCGATGACAGTTACGGCGTATCTGTTACCGCTAGTGGTTAAGCCCAGCTCAAGTATGTCTACGCCAACTATTTCATACGGTTTTGTTGTCACTATGGGCTTGAGTGGTGGTATCAGTGCTGTCCTCGGGTTGTGCACGAAACAGCGTTGACACTCTCGCGTCCACTTACGGATTTCTTGCAACATGCTTGGCCAGAATACTTCCTTTTTCAATCTGTTATAGAGCTTATACGCGCTGAAGTGCCCTGCAAATGTACCTCCGTGTGCTTCTTCGAATATCTTTCGCCTCGCACTTTTGGGCACTACAAATACCAGGCTTCCGTCGTCGCGGTATACTTTCAAGTCACCGTCTTCAATGACGAAATCGTTTATCCGCATGTGTTCATTATGACCTATCCATGATTTGGTACCATTTACTTTTCCTTTTTCGACATCTTTGATTATGTCAGCGAAATCGGGGTCTTCTCTCAACTCACTCATCCATTTGGTATCACTCTTCGATTGCAAACTGCTAACAACAGCTTCCTCAACTTCGCTTAGGGACGCATGTACTGGCAACTCTGAGGTTCCTCTGCTCAATGCATCAGCTACAACGTTCGTTTTGCCTTTCACATACTTTATCTCTATCTTATATCTTTGTATTCCTAGGGACCATCTGAGTACCCTTGCGGACACGTTATTCCGTTTAAAGAGTGCAGTCAGCGGTTGGTGATCTGTTAGAACTATCGTTGGGAGACCGTATATAAACATGTGAAATCTGCGGACTGCAAAAATCACTGCCAGTCCTTCTAGATCCGTCACGTGATAGTGTTTCTCTGCTTTGCTGAGACTTTTTGAGGCAAAGTATACAGGATGTAGCTGTCTGTCGTCACCTTCTTGCGACAACACAGCACCCAACCCAGTTGTTGATGCGTCAGTGCATATGATGAAAGGGCGTGTACCTTCTCTGGCTTTTTCGATGTCCGGTTGCATTAACACGGGTGCAGATGATATCATTTTCTTGACTTTGTCGAAGGCCTCTTCGTGCTCTCTTGTCCAGTTCCACGAGGTTTTCGACGAGGTAAGTGTGAACAGGCATCCTGTTATCTTCGAGAAACCCAAACAAAATTTGCGGTAGAATGATGCCATTCCAAGGAATACTCGCAAGCTTTTGACGTCTTTTGGTGCTGGATAGTTTACAATGGCCTCAACCTTCTTGGGATCTGCATGCACCCCTTTTGAGTCCACGATGTGTCCCAGGAAGCTCACATGTTCTTGTAGTAGAACACACTTCTCAGCCTTGAGTCGCAATCCAGCTTCTTGAAGTTTTGCACACACTTTTCGCAACAGCTCAATGTGCCTTTTTCTTGACTCCGTACAAATGATAATATCGTCTATATAACAAAAGACTTCTGCTCCTATCAGTTCCTGTAGCACCGTATCCATGAGTCTTTGAAAAACGGCAGGACTAGTACTCAGTCCGAAAGGAGTGACACGGAATTGGAAAAGTCCTTCAGTTGTTGTGAATGCCGATTTTTCTTTTGCCGTCTCTGAGAGTGGAATCTGCCAATATCCGCTGCACAAGTCAAGTGTGGAAAACCATTTTTTCCTCGCCATATTCTGTAAAATGGCGTCCATTGTCGGCAGTGGGTATGCGTCTTGCTTGATTCTCTTATTCAGTTCCCTGTAGTCCACACATAAGCGTAAGTTTCCATCCTTTTTCTCAACTAGCACAATGGGGAAGGCCCATTCGGAGTTGCTTTTTTCGATAATTCCACGATTTTTGGTAGAATTTAATTTTAAATAAGAAATAAATCTGCTGGCAGCTCTTCGAGTTTCTTTCCTTATTGCTAGCGGGACAGGCCGTGTTTTCATCTTGATGGGTTTGTTGTCCCCAGTATCTATGTCCATGTATACTTTGTCTGTCCCTGTCAGCTCAGTGTCCCACACGGAAAACGCATCTGGAAAGTCATCCAATACTTCAGTGATGTCGTCACTCAATACTTCGACATTTGAGCTCTGTTTGATTTGTTCCATCAGCAGTGTTCGCCGCTGCGATTTGTTGTTTGCTGTATCCTCTATGACACATGGGTTGAAGTCTTCCCATTTTTCTTTCCATTTCACCGTACTCCAGTGACCAATTTCCTCTCCTTTTCCAAAAATCATTGGCTTGTCAGTGTGATTCCTTGCTGGTATATTCACCATCTGATTTTTGACTCTGTAAACACCACAGTCTGGTCCTTCTTTGGCTGGCCAGATGACACCCTCTGCCACTTGTTGTCTAACGTCGCAATGTGCCGACACTACCTTTGTTCTGTGTGGTGGGATGTACATCCTCTTTGATACCGTCACAGACATGACTTGGTTATCTCCCTGCACTTGGCTGGATCGTTTGCGTATTGCGAAATTTCAAGGTTGACGTCCCAGGCTGCTCAACGAGTTGGTTTCCTAGCAATATTTCGTTGTCTCTACTGTCCACAATATAGAAAGCTACACTGCTGCTTTGTCCCCCTTCCAATTCGACGTCAATCTTGACAGCACCAAGAAGAAACTTCATTTTGTTGTTCGATGCGTTATATACTTGCACACCGTCTCGCGTTTTTTATGACTCAGGCTGATCCTAACATCAAAACCTTGTTGCTTTGCTCTAGCCAATACTCCTACAGGTATTATGCTTATCATTGAACCTGTATCCAGCAAAGCGGGTACACGGGTCTGTAAAATTTTCGCCCATCGTGAAATCCTCTTTCCAACCAATGGTGTCACTTCGCTCGGACTGCCTACCGTCCTAACTCCCATGCTCCGCGCTTTTTGGATGATGCTCGAAATCCCTCTCTCTGTTAGGTTTCCATTTTCGTTCTCGGTCCTCGTGATCGCCAGCTTCAACGACGTGTCGCTTTGAGGAGCATTCTTTAGGGGCCTATGGTGACCCTGCTCTCAAACAATGAAAGCGATTTTTTCCTCAGCTGGTTTTGGTTTCCGCAGACCTGTTTTCTTCCCGTCTGAACAAGCGATTCGTCGCTCTTGTGCTCTGATGCGGCAGGACCTTCCCCTTCTGTATACTTTCGTTTGACTACTTCCTGGTTATTCTCTTTTTTTGTTTCCATAACTTCATTTTCCGTTGTGGATTTTTCGCCCTCCACACTGTACGATGTCGCTTTTGTTTTCCAGTTTCGACATCTGCCATACCTTTCTGTTTGTGATTCTCCGTACATTCTTTTAGAGAGTTCTATAGATAAGGCCAGTTGTTTAACTTCTTCATACGCTTTCTCTGGTTTAGCCCTATGAAGCGCACTCAGCAATTGAACGTGCTCTGGCCAATGCTTTAAATTAGTTAGGAGGATATGCGCGAATTCCAACGAACTATCTTCCATTGTACCGTGTGGATTCGCCTTTCTTCCCAGCTTTTCTAAAGCTACGCAGAAATTTGAAACTTCTTGATGGGGTCGAATTCTCAGTTCGCGTAACTCAGCAATGGCTCGCATTCTACCAGCAACACTATCTTCGGCTAGTAATTTTGCTAATTCCTCGACAACTGCTTCAAAACCTTGTTTTCTGATTTCCACTGGCAGCGAAAGAAACACTGATTTTGCTCTGCCGCCTAAGTGGTCATCACCTAGTATCGTCGATGAGGAGCCTGGTCCGCTCGCTACAAACCCGTTGGTACTTCCTACGGAATCTTCGTAAGAATTCCTTGAAGTTCTCATTTGGGTTTCCTTTATAGATCCCAGGATCGACACAAGACAGTGATTGGAAACAGTTAATCATATCAATGGTTATATCCTGACCTTGT